GTTATAGTCTTGCAGAAGTGTTCTCCGGAACTGTCGTCTATCCTTTCAAAACTATTTAACAAGTGCTTATCAGAGTCTTGTTTTCCAGCCTGCTGGAAAGCAGCATCTGTTATCCCTATTTTTAAAAATTCTGAAGAGCGATCTGATTCGTCTAACTACCGTCCCATTAGTCTTCTTCCTGTCATAAGCAAGGTTTTTGAATCTTTAATTAACAAACATTTAATCTCTCATCTCGAATCTCATAACCTACTTTCTGATCATCAATATGGATTTCGATCTTCTCGTTCTATGGTTGATTTGCTAACAGTAATAACCGATAGGTTTTATCGCGCTTTATATAAAAGTGGAGAGGTTAAGGCCCTTGCTCTTGACATTTCTAAGGCGTTTAATAAAGTTTGGCATGCTGGTCTTCTCCATAAGCTTTCTTCTTACAGTGTATCTGGAAACATCTTTAAGGTTATCGATTCCTTCCTTTCCAATCGTAGTATAAAAGTTGTCCTTGATGGACAGCACTCTTCTTTTTATTCTGTAACCTCAGGGCTTCCTCAATGTTCATTCCTTGGCCCTATACTCTTTTTAATTTACATTAACAATCTTCTAGATATTCTCACATCTACGGTGGCATTGTTTGCTGATGATACTACCATTTATTCTTGTCATGATAAGAAGCCAACTCCCTTTGATTGCTTGCAGGGGGCATCTGAGCTTGAAAAGGATCTCACTTCTGCTACAGCATGGGCCTCACAGTGGCTGGTGAACTTTTATTCAGATAAAACTAATTTTTTTTCATCCAATCGTTATCGCAATAATTTAGACCTTCCTATATTTATAACCAGTAATGTACTCGATGAGTCTCCTACCCTTCATCTTCTAGGATTAACTCTTACTTCTGATCTTTCTTGGAAACCTTATATCAAATCCGTTGCAAAATTAGCATCTGCTAAAGTCGCTTCTCTTTATCGAGCTCGTCACTTTCTTACTCTGGATTCTGTTCTCTATCTCAATAAATCTCAAATCCGGCCTTGTATGGAATACTGTTGCCATATCTGGGGTGGATCTTCTAATGATGCCCTTTCTCTTTTAGACAAGGTGCAAAAACACATTATAAACATAGTTGGACCTGCTCTTGCAGCCTACCTTCAACCTCTGTCACATTGTCGTAATGTTTCTTCTCTTTCCCTTTCTACAAATACTATAATGGGCACTGCTCTAAAGAGCTATTGTCTCTTGTGCTATCTACAAAAATTCATTCTCGTGTTACTCGTCATTCAATTAAGTCTCATCCTTTTTCTGTTACTGTTCCTATGTGCTCTAAAAACTCTTATTCGTCTAGTTTTATTCCTCGAACATCAGTTCTTTCGAATTCGCTTCCTTTATCTTGCTTTTCTGATTCAGTTAATTTTTTAAGTCATCTGTCAATTGCTATCTTGCTCTACAATCTTCATCTTTTCTCTGCCAGTAACTTCCAACACTAATTAGTGGTTGCTTGCAGCCTTGTTGGAAGCGAAGATGTAAATATATATATATATATATATATATATATATATATATATATATATATATATATATATATATATATATATATATATATATATATATATATATATATAAATACATACATACATACATATATAGTACAAATAATAGTTCACGATCTTATCTAGGTTATCTAAGATGATCTAATCTAAGTTATCTAATCTATCTTATCTAGTTATCTATCTAATCTTATACCTTATCCCGTGGATTTTTTTTTTTGATTTAAAAGCAGTCTACTAGCACATCCTAAAACTATTAAAATTTAAATCTTTTTTTGGTAGCTTTTTGAGGAAACTCAACTGCAAGGCTTGTTTTAATGAAAGATTAGGCCCATCTGACACACCTTCAGATCCTAGCTAGGAGAACAATATTTGATTTATTTGGCTGTTTGACTAACTATAGTGTTTTTATTGAGGGAGTAAAGGTAGTTTTTCAGGAATACAGAGCTTAGTCTAAAGCTTTCAATTCAGAATAAAATATCTGAAACAAAAAGTATTTTTTTTAGAAAGGAAATATTTAGTACAACAAAAATTTTATACTTTGCTAAAACTATAAAGTATATATATTATTTTACCAAAACAGTTTGAAATCTTGATGAACTGATTCCAATGGTTGCTGATTCCAATACCTTAAACCTTCATTCAAGTTATTTAAGAAACAAATTTTTATAAGTACAGTTAAAATGTTAATCCTTGCTTTTTTAAATATACAAGCTTTTCTCCTTCTTTAACAATAAACTCCTCTCCATGCTGCTCTACTACTTTAAGAGTAATGTTTAAACGTGATCTTTAAAACTTTATAAAAATCTTTTTATAAGTCATAGTAGTTTGGGTTTAATATTTTTTTTAAGCATCCATAAAAACTCATTGCCTCTCAAAGTCACTTAAAGCTTTCATATATTTACCTTTAAAGTTATTATGCTTATCCTGATAAATATGCCTTTCATTCTACCTTTATAAGACACTCTGGTAAGGTTTGTTGTAGACAGATAACTATTTACAAATAGAAACACCCAATTAGTGTTCTCAAACAAATTTTCATACAAATCCTTAGAAATTTCACATTCATACTTATCAGAATATTTTTCTCTTATTTTTTTTACTTAAATGTGGATCTAGCTCTGACTTCAAAGTAATTGATAAGGTAACTTTTAAATAACCCTTCACTCCATTTACCCCTTAACATCTACATTCTCTGATATAAAAGATTTATGATTGGAACTCATTAATATTATTGCATATAACAGGAATAATTCTTTCAATATACTAAACAATAACAAAACAATGTATAGTCATTTAATAATCTTTTATTTTATATTATCAACTTTTAACATCAAAATATAATACTACATTATAATATATTACTATTGTAAAGCTTTTTATTGGGACTAAAATCTCAAGTTAAAATAAAAGTATGTGTGGTGAATAAAAAGGTTTTGATCTTTCATTCTACTTTCTCTAAACTCAATAGATTTTTTTTGCACATAGAAAAAATATTTAAGGCAGTTAATGGTTTACCAAACCGAGAAAAAATTTTTGAAAATCTTATCAAGAAGTACTTTTGGGAAAACAACTCTGTTGATAACCATGATCTGGCTAAAATGTTTTTTTCTACATGCAGAAGAAACAATTAAAGTTAAATTGTTACCTTTTTTCAAACAGAATATACCAATTATTTTTAAAATACGTTGCAATTTTTTGTAAAGTAATTTTTTTTAGGTATTTTTTTTTATTTAGAACTAGTTCTAGCATTTTCTAACTAGTTCTAAATTGTTAGAACTGAAGATAAAAAGAATGTTAGAAGATAAAAACACTGTTATCTTTATTATTATAGCCACTGTTATTATATTAAGTCTTTTAAAGCAATGTCCATAGACAACTACTATTAGCCAATCTAAAACCAATAAATATTGCTATCACCAATCGCATTGTTTCAATTACAGAAAATAAACAGTTAATGGCTGATGGAAAAATATTATTTTAATACCAAAGCATCATTTTTTTAAAACTTCTAAGCAAGTTTTACAAAAAGCTACCAACAAATGATTTATGTTTTTACAATTATAGAATGTACAAATATACTGCTTTCAAATTCAAAAAAAAAATTTCATGAGATACAACATAAGGTCTTGGGTGACTTTCAGGATACCCATGGATATTCAGTTCTTTCTATTATAGGAGTAATATAATTTATATAATTTTTGATGCTAAATATAGATTTAGAAAAACTTACTCTAGAATGATCATTAGAATGCCTGCCAAAGAATTATCATTAGATTGCCTGCTGAAGAATTATTACTTTTAATGAATTACCATTCATTAACTACTTAGATATCAAGTAATAAAGTGGGCAAGTGTTTTTCTGCCCACCTTTTGCTCTTCTAAAAGAGCAAATCCCTAGTCTACAACCCAGGCACACTCTCAGACACACCTGAGTCACCTCTCCTCCCACCCTATTTAAAGACTAATTTGAAATATAGTATCATTATTATTATTATAAGTTGCAAGAAAAAAAAAATTTTTATTTTTTTTTCTTGCAACTTATAATAATAATAATGATAATGACGATTTTCGAGGGTGCTAAATTCAAAAATGTAGAGAAAATAGTGAAATTTAAAGTTTTTTTGATGGTTATTATTTGATTTTAAAATAGTCAGTCACACTTTTTGTTCTGTTACCATGGATTGCGCTTTCATTAACTCCCAGAGTTGCCTAAGTTTTATGGATACAATTTTTTTTTTCAAATGAAATAGGTGATCCTAGGCTATCTTTATAAAAAAAGATGGTTTTGGTTTCTTAAAGCATTATAAAGATATGTCATTTTGAAATTTAGATAAAAAATTCTTTATTTGGACTCAAATTGTCTGTCATAAATCTTTTAGCAGTTGTATATTTGTAAATAATTTTTAGTAGAAGAAACTGACTGAAAATTGGTACCTAACCATTTTTGAAGATGTTGAATTTAAAGTAGAAAAGAAAATGAATTAATTCAAAATGTCTGATGACTGTAAAAAGTCACTTATTGACAAAAAAAAAAAAACGCCATTTTCTATATTTATAATTAGTTAAAAGTAATTTTTGTTGTAGAAGGTTCAATATAAAAGTTAACAATAGAGAGGTTTGATACGTAAGCAAGAAAGAAGCTTTAAGTATTAAATTTTCAAATAAAGCTTAAGCTTTCAAGTTGAATGAAAATTCACAGTATTGAATGATTTTCACATTATTGAATAGAAGAGTTTTGTTATGCAAGTTTATTTTTCAAATTAAATGCAATTTTAATTTCAATTAAATGTTTTTGAATACTTTTTAAATACAGATTTTTTTAAATTTATTTTTTTTTAAATACGGATGTTTTTAAATCTTTTTAAAAATATAGATGTTTTTAAATTTTAGATAATCTTGATTTTTTTTTTTAATGATTTTTAGTATCAAATATTTTAAGTATTTTTTTATTTTTAATGATAGATGTAGCAGTTTTGCTTCAATATCACAAAGCTTTAAAAGTGCTCCTCACTATTTATATCAAACAACTGACTTACAAAGTTTGCAGAATATATGTCGGGTAAGGTATTTTTCCTAAACTTTGTTAAATGTACTGATGATTTGTTAAAAATAAGTCACTTTTTTTGTTAAGTCAAACTTGGGCCCTGAATTTATTCAAGTTACTGAAAATCCTGACTTGGCTGTTATTGATATATCTCCTGTAAGTTTTTTACTATTTTTTATTTATATTATTAGAAATTTTTTACTTTAAGATTTTAAAAACATTTGATGTCTTTTTGAAAAACATATTATGTGGATTTTTATTTATAAAATTTATGTATAATAATATTGTATGGGATTATTTTGAATTTTTTGTAAAAATTTACCTATTTTATTTATTAAATTTATTTATATATATATATATATATATATATATATATATATATATATATATATATATATATATATATATATATATATATATATATATATATATATATATATATATATATATATGTATATATGTATATATATATATATATATATATATATATATATATATATATATATATTTATATATATATATATATATATTTCTTAAGCAAAGTAATAGCAATATATTTGAACATATTTTTAAAAAAAACACAATATTTTTAATGTTGATATGTTATGTAGTTTAATAATTATAATACCGTAGTAGTATAATTTTTATTTTATATATATATATATATATATATATATATATATATATATATATATATATATATATATATATATATATATATATATACTTATTAACAAGATACCATTGATTTTGATATCAAATTTATGAAAAGCATGTTGTGTGATAGAGTAGCTACATATTCTGGGGTGGACAAGGTGGTCACAGAAGTCAAAGAAAGACAAAAAAATAATCTGAAGCAAGAAGAAATGAACCCATGTAACCTTTTGAAATGATAAATCTTTATATTAACTATTGTGAGGATTAAAATATTGAAAAGTTAGCACCAGAGCACAGAATAGGAAACACAGAAGAATAGTTAAATGTACCATAGATATCTTTGTTCCCTGTGGAATTTTCTAAAAACCCTAACCTTGTTTCATGCAGTATCCATAACAACATCTCATCAATCCAATTTAGTGCCATTGTTGTACTCTCTTGTAGCAGCATGGGGGGATGGGGGGTGGGGAGAGGTGAGTCTTACAAGCTATGTTCAAAAGCAAGGACAGCCCACTGGTATAAAACCAAAAATAAGTGTGAAGATCAAAAAAAATTGGATGCTATTGCCAAAAATGCTGGTGCATTTGGATGGAAAATTTATGGACATTCTTGATTCCAAAATATTGGATGACCAATTGCCAGTTCTTGTGTCTGGAACTGATGGAACATCCAAAATATCAACTAAAAAACTGGTTAAGTTTTTAGAGACATCATAGCAAAGTCAACTATCATTTTCTTCACACTTTCATTTTTAGGGAATGAAAACACTTCACACTTAGAATGTTAAGGAAATGTTATTTGCATGGTTTTCAATACAACTTTGTTAAATACAGGTAAGCTTAATTAAATATAAAATGTGAATGAAATATACAACTACACATGTAATGACATTTTCAAAAAAGCGAACCTCTGCATATGTGTCTTGACAGAAGGAATTAGCTTGTGCTCTGTTCTGGTTTGCTTGTCGTAGGCAAGTTGGTGAATTTCTTTTGAGTCATTGCTGGGAAGGTTTGAAAGTGAAGACATCAGCTAGTCTTAATATTTTAATCTTCCAAAGGTGCCTTCTGTAGGCTATACCTTTTGTTTTACATGCAATCAATATATTATATATATATAAAAAAAGTAAATATTGAAGAAGTTACCTCAGGAGCAACAAAAGAATAGTTAAATGTTCTATAGATATCTTTGTTCCTCATGACATATTGAAAATCCTTGACCTTGTTTCATGCAGTATACGTAACAACATCTCATCAAATCAACTTAGTGCCATTATGTACTCCCTTGTATCAGCATACGGGGCGACCACAAGCTATATACAAGATATAGCTTGTGGTTACGTATACTGCATGAAACAAGGCCGAGGATTTTCAATATGAAATGTAATACAAGCTATGTCTAAATGTAAGGACACGCCGCCGGTATAAAACTGCTATTGTACCTAAAATAAGTCTAAAGATTAAAGAAAATTGAATGCCATCACAAAAAATGCTGGTTCTCTGGGATGACAAACTTATGCACACTCTTGATTCCAAAAAAATAGATGACTGATTGCCGATTCTTGTGTCTAGTGCTGATGGTACAAAGCTCCTTTTTGAGTCATTGCTGAGAAAGTGTAAAAATGGAGATATCAGCTTGTCCATTATTTTGATCTTCCAAAGGTGAGTTTAATGGGTTATATCTTTTTTTTTTCTTCCTACAATCTAATATTGCACAAAAAAAAGTAAAAAGCTTCTTTTTACAATTGAGATGTAGTGAACTAACTACTTATAGTTTCAACTTACAACAATTAACATTTATTTACTATATCTTTTTCACTTTTCTAGGTTCAAAAAACATATCTCTTAACTTTCATCAGATGAACAAAGTATTATCATCCTCATATGATATTGAAGAAGAATGCAAGCAAGAAATGGGTAAATTTTTTTGTGAATCTCTTACACAATTATTCACATAAGGTGACTTATGAAAGAGCTGGTTCAGCTTTGTCTCCTCATAATAACTAGTTGGTCTGAACCAAAGACCTTCAAGATACTTTATCCTGGTACCCTTCACAAAGGAAATTAGATGAGTAAAATGCTTTATACTTTGAACGTTGTGCTTCTGTCTAGACAAATCAAAGAACATTTTCCAAAATCTGAAATTATTGCAAGTAACTAAATAATAAAATTGGAACCATTTGTTGTGTTCACAGTTTCAGTTTATGTGCAGTGGTGGCTTGTTTATCCTGTACCAGGTAGCGCACCAGTGAATGACTTGATTTTAGTGGTAAACTTGGTAAAGTTTGCTCAGCATGGCTCAATTATATTTAAAAATGCTCACATATCATTCAGTTCGCAAACTGGGTACTTATCTGAGAAGTTTATTCTGTTAACACTGTTTGCATATATGTTAGTAGTAGAAACCAAAGAGGAAATGAGGAAACCCATTTTTATCTTTAAAAACACTTACGTAATAGAGTTGGATTCGATTTTGAGGGATATGGCAAGCCCTATCTTCCTCCTTTCAATAAAATATGGTACGTCTCTATTTGACCTAATTTGTTTTGATTTTTTAGCATTTTATAAATTCCTCCATATTTCACCACATGATTGGATTAATAGGGAAGACTAGCAAAACATGAAAGTGGTTGTCAACAAACTTCTGGTAATAAATGAAGCAGCAGAACCTGGTGTGAAAGTGACTTTCTAGGTGTAACTAGAAATGAGAAGCATTTTCAAGATGTTCTCCATATAGTAGAATCTCATAGACAGCATATTTCAAATTAGCAAAAGTCATTTTGTGCACAATAAGTGAAATCATTGTTTCTAGTCCTGAAAAACAAATAATTTCATTTTGCAGTATTATACCTTATAACACCCACTGAATAAATTTTTTCTTATCATCTTGTACTCTATATGGCTGTATTTAGTAAAAGAAATTTAGTAAAAGAAACCAGCTTTTTTTTTTCTGAGTGCCACCATGTTATTAGAATTAAACACAAGGTAAATAAATGATTTTTGAACTAAATTTTGTATTTTCAAATGCAGGTGCTTATTTAATTGTGTTATAGATTTTTGATGTAATTTAAAATTGATGTAATTTTTTTAATGTAATTTACAATGTTTTCTGTTAAATAAGAACTTTAAATTTTATTAATTATTAATATATATATCTTTTATACAAAATGGTTTATTTTACTTCTTTACATAGAACTTTGGGATAGAGTAGTGAGTAATGACTCTATAAAGCAAATCAATTTTTTAAATATGTTTTTGTAAATGACCTTCAAAGGCCGCTTATCAATCTTAGAAATATGTTTAAACTTATTGCTTAAATTTTCAAATAAAAAAGCAAATATAACATGTAAAACCAATTTCACATTTATACTAAATTTCATATTTATATTTAACTTATATAAAACTTTGTATATGTCATTTTTATGACTAAATACAATAATAAAATTATGAACAGCATCATACGACAAAGTTAGGGCAACTGTCATGCCCTAATATATATATATATATATATATTATATATTATATATATATATATATATATATATATATATATATATATATATATATATATATATATATATATATATATATATATATATGTATATATATATATACATGTATATTATATATATATATATATATATATATATATATATATATATATAATATATATATATATATATATATATATATATATATATATAATATATATATATATATATATATATATATATATATATATATATATATATATATATATATATATATATATATATATATATATATATATATATATATATATATATATATATATAAACATATATATACATTATGTATACATTATATATATATATATATACATTGTATATATATATATATATATATATAATGTATAAGTATAATATTTAGGTCAGATTTCTGCGAATTTGTATTGTGAATTGTATTGGAACTTTTAAAATGATGTGGATTGTGGATTTATTATTTATTATGAAAAATGAAAATGTTCAATTAGAAGTGACATATTTGGGAAAATAAACGTGTTATTATGACACTATGTTTATTGCTTGTCGCAGATAAATAAGTAGACAGACCCATGTTAGGTCATTAGTAAGTTCAGTAAAACTATCAGAGTGTAAACTAGCCCTGTGGGATCCTGTCAAACGTCAAAAAAACTCATAAAAAAATTTTTAGTTGATGCTAAAAGATTATAGCATCAACTAAAATCTTTTTTTTTATTTATCTACTATCATTTCTCGACTAATGTTTTTAAAAAGCTACCTATGAAATATATGTTAAATACAAAAAAAGGTTTAATGATTATTACAAACTGGTACAAGAAATTTATTTAATGACTCAGTGTAGTTTTATAGATTATTTGAATTCTTTTATTTCCCAGTGGGCATGAATTCTAAGCCCTTTAATATATATATATATATATATATATATATATATATATATATATATATATATATATATATATATATATATATATATATATATATA